CTTTCCCAACAGTATTAAGAAAAGTGAAACACTTAGGAGTCAGTCTAAAGAAGGCAGTAAAAAGCTTCACACTGACACTACGGCACTCTGAGAAACAAAACCAAAGAATGTACCCTAAAATGGAAAGCTGTACCCTATTCCTGGATAGGAAAATCAATATAGTGAAAGTGGCCATACTTCCAAAACTGTTAATACAGATTTAATAGAATCTCAGTCAAAATACAAATAGCATATCTCACAGAACTAAAGAAAACAATCCTACAATTCACATGGAACCCAAAGAGATCCATAAAAAGCAAAACAACTCTAGGCAACGAAGATAAAGCAGAGAACATCGCAATCCCTGACTTGAAGTCATACTACAAAGTTACCATGATGGAAACAGTGCGGTACTGGCAAAAAGCCAGATACAACAATCACTGGAATAGAACGGAAGACGCCAAAGCAATTCCAAGCACAGTCACCTACTTTATATTTTTTTGGCAGAGGGGCCAAAAACCTTCACTAATAAATAATGCTGGGGAAACTGGCTTTCCACTTGCAAAAGATTGAGATATCTCTCACTATTTTTGTGAGATATCTCTCACCAAACTAAAACTGAAATAGATCAAAGACATAAATGCAAAAATAGAAACAATCTGTTGGAAGACAGAATAAAGTTCTAGGAAACATAAATGTAAGCAAAGACTTTATGAACAAACCCCAGACCACACAGGAAATATTACAAAGAATCACCGACTGAGATAACATCAAATTAAAAAGCTTCTGCATGGCAAAAGAATCACAAATAGAACAAAGAGACAACCCACAGAATGGGGGAAAAATTACCAGCTATTCTTCACAGAACAGCTAGAACATATAAGTACAAAAATATCAGACCCCCTCAATTTCAAAGACCCACTGACAAAATGAGCATCAGAAATGAATATCTTTCAGATGAAAAAGTACACAAACAGCAAATAACTATATTTTAAAAACTGTTCAACATCACTGGTCATTCAAGAAATGCAAATTAAAAAACACTGAGATTTCATTTCACTCCAAACAAGAATGGCTAAGCAAGAAATCAACAGGCCCAATGTCAAAAGGATAAAATGAGGGCCGCAGCGAGCAGCAGCAGGACCTGGCAAGCACAGAGAGCAAGAGGAACAAAAGCTGCGACTGAAGATGGGCGGACACCGACGCCCGGCAGAGTGTGCAGGACAGAGAAATCGCGAGGAAAGCTGGCTGCACCAAGTGCTTTAAATACACAGAGGCCAAGACACTATGGATCTGGAAGACCGAAACTCTTGAGCTTCAGGACAGGGCTCAAGGGGCTCTGTGGTGACAAGGACAGCCCAGAGCCGCACCACAGGCTCCATGCAAGCCAGGACGGGGAGACAAATGGTGACAAATCTCGAGGATGCCTTCCAGGTAATATACTAGTATGATTTTGCCTGAAAAGACAAACTTGTATGTCAACCATTCTTACTTATGTATTTTCTTATGTCAAACATTTTCTAAGGCTGGGGAGAAAAATCACAAAACCGCACCCAGCCTGCGCAACTTAGCCAAACCCTGTCTCAAAATAAAAAATTTAATTGTCATGACATACTAGTTGCTGCTGTGCTGTCTCTCGGGTAGATGATTGTTCAAAAAGAAGGGGGTGGTGAATGAAGGCAGGAGACAGGAGAAGGAATATTGTGGGACTGTCCTGCTTCAAGGTTGTATATGGTTAGATTTTTGGACTTATGTGTAAACATAAGAAGTATATAATTCTTTATGCCTATTTTTTAAAATATATTCTAATTTTTAAATGTTTTTTCATCATATTCTATAGGGACTTAAAGTTCAACATATCAATACTTGATGAAAAATACCTGTTCCATGTTATGCCTAAGATGTTTGATATTCAGACAGATAGTGAGGTTAAGTTTAACAGCCTAGGTTCTATGGTAGTAACAATAAGCATGTCTTCTGGAGGGTTAACAACCTAAGTTTGCAGACCAAAATTAGAGAAAAAGGAGGGCTGCAAGGAAAGCCAACATTTTGGCCCTAGCCTTCCAAGGTCAATTAAGACTCAAGACATATGAGAACTTGTACTGTAACATCATGTAACTCAGTAGTGTCCCAAATTTTCTGATCAAGGAGATTATGGGGCCAAAGAGGAAAGTGATCGATGATGTAGAGTGTGCCTAAGGAGAGTCACATGGAGAGAAAACATTCTCTCAGGTTTTCACAGAGAGCACATTGGCCAAGCAATGGCCGTGACTCAACCACATGGCTGACAATGACAAAGGTTCTACAACCTGAGGTACAGGATCTCAGGATAAATCCTGAGGGGATTTCACTGACCTTATCAGACCCAAAAGCTACAACTCTTGTTGCACAGGTCCTGCTTTACCTTGGTCTTAATCATCCAGCAGAAAAGTATAAAAACGAAGTATAAGAAGTAAAGCCAAGCTGTTATGTTGAGCTGTAGGGGACTCAGGTCAACAATTTCTGACATTGCCAGTCAAGCAGAAGACCCAATACTATTATGGACTACTGGACAATTCTAGAATATTTTGCTGAGTTCATACACCTGTAATATTTAAATGATGGAACTTAACAAAAAAAGGGGATACAGATGAATGTCCATTTTGTATCTGTGTATTCAAAATGGTTAGGATAGATATGTAGTTACCTCTTAATGAATAGAGGGATTTGTTCTAATAATGTTTATAAATAGGATATCAAGTCCACATCTTGTACAGCAATTAACCACTAGGAAGAATGTACGCAATGTGTAAATTATTGAAACTATCCTACCAATTTGGTTTGAAACTGTCTCACTGCTATAATAAATAATAAAATTTTTTAAAAAATAATAATTATTTCCTAAAAAAAAAAATTTAAAAAGGGCTGGGGAGGAGCACACTGGTAGAAAACGGTGCCTTCTCCCCTAAAAGCATACTTCTTCTTATTCCTGAGTAGCCAACAGTATGTGGCAATTCATGGAACTAGGCTACAGACAGATATGACCCTCCTAGAAAAGAGGGAAACAGGGAGGGGGAAAGGGGAGGGAGAAGGAGAGACAGACGCAGAGACAGAGACAGAGACCTTATTATGGCATCGGAGTTATTTCCCAGGTGAATTATTAAAAATCTAGAGAACCAAATGTTTCAAAAACATGTTGCTGGGGGCCTGGCCCTAGCTCAGTTCTTTAAGTGGCTGCTTCGACAAAGCAGTCAAGCTCAGGTTGCTGTGGTTCGATCCCCACAACTCCAGCCAGCCAAACCTGCCCTGAAGGCATTCGGAGCCAAAAAAAAAAAAAAAAAAAAACCATGTTGCTGCCAGGTGAGGGATCAAAAGCCTGTAAACCCAGGCTGAGGCAGGAGGATCACTGTTGAGGTCTAAGCCAGCCTAGCTACCCAGTGAGTTAGTTGAAGGCCAGCCTGAACTACATGGTCAGACCCTGTCTCAAAAAAAAAAGTTGTTCCTCTTTAATTCTAAAACAGAAGCACAGCATACAGTATAAATTGGAATAACAGGATCTTCCAATATCCCTGACTCAAAAAATGACAAGCGAACGACATGTACTCATGTCAAAGGTCACACAGGAGCCCAACGGGCCTTGCGTGTCCCATCCCCACAGCACGGAACCCAGCCAGGGAGGCTCCACTGCATGAACGTGGCTAGACAAAGTGGAAGACAAACACTGTACGAGCACACGGCCAGTCCTACTTACAAACTCCATCAATATAATCCTTCACGAGGTTTGCGTCTGTGAATACCCAGATGCCGCACTCCTAAAAAAAAATCAATGGCAATTTTCTTTGAAAACAGAAGTCTCAAAGAGCTCTACATGCTGGCCTCCCTCGCGCTCTCTCCCCCAGAGCCCCCGACACACACCCACGTGTAAGCCCTCCTGCAAAGTCAAAGGTAAAGGAAATAAATTCTGTGTGTAATGATACCTCCATTAATCTTTTTACCGTAAATGTTTCTATTTGTTTTTAAAACCAAAGGAAACTTTTCATTAAATTATACTCATGTAACAGTGCACCCCAGTGACACAAGAACAAAAGATTAACATTTCATAATGACCATTAATTCTGATAGTGTTTCCAACACTAAAATGGGTTAATATCTTTACAAATTCTACAGCCAACTAAACATACCTGAAAGACAGTGAAAGAATTCATGAACATGCCTAAATAATATCCTGTGTTATAAAGTTCCAAATCATGGACCACCTATAAAGAACAAAAGGCACAGAGTGAGGGGATTCACATCAATGTCTGCCTTCCATGACATTTATGATGAATGACTTTATTAGACACAGCCCTGATACTTTTCAAATGGAAAAACTATACAAATCAAGAATAATAATGTAAAAATGTTTTGTTTGTGATTTAATTCATCAAAACTATTTATCTTATTTAAACTTAGTTTTGCTCTGCTCAGGAATCCAGAGTTCCTAAGAAGGATGATCTTGACTTCTGCCAAAGAAGATCAACATGTAGAGGCCAACATTAAAAATGATCTAAGCTGGGCGTGGTGGTGCACACCTGTGATCCCAGCTCTCAGAAGGCTGAGGCAGACAGAACGTTGGGAGTTTGGGATCAGCCCAGGCTACAAAGTGAGCTCAAGGCCAGCCTAAATTGCATAGCTGGACCCTGTCTCAAAAAGACCAAAAGATAGATATAGAGAGAGCGACAGACAGACAGACAGACAGACAGACAGACAGACAGACAGACAGACAGAGACAGAGAGATAGATCCATCCATTGTAAAGGACAAAAGAAAGAAGGAAAGGGAAAAGACATACAGGATATCCTAGATAATTGTACTGCTGATTTTTTCTTGTCTATTGAAAGGAGCATTTAACACTTATTAAATTGTTTTCTTCTCATTTTTAATTTCTTTTAACTTTTTTTTTTCACCAATTATGTGGCTTATATCTGGTAATTTAAACAACTAACCTGAAGACAAAATTTGCAATCTAACAACCATTGTTGAACTCCTATTGTTTTGTTTAGTGAAATTCTGTAAAATTTCTAATGTGTTTTTTACTATTTTTTATTCTCTTTAAAAATATAAATAGGGCCAGGGAGATGGCTCAGTAGAATAAGCGCTTGGGCCTGAGTTCAATCCCCAGTTCCGCAAAATAAATAAATAAATAAATAAATAAATAAATAAATAAATACAAATACAAATACAAATAAGAAAAAAGATCCATAGACTATCAGAGACAAGGGTGTAGTAAGAGGAAACGATCAAAGTACATTATAAGCATGCACAAATATGCCAAAATGAAACCCAACACTTGTATAAATAACCAATAACAAATTCTGGAGAGGCTATGAGAAAAGAAATCCTTTTCCACTGTTGGTAGGAGTGCAGATTGGTGCAACCTCTAGAGACAAGTGTGGAGATTCCTCAAAAAACCAGGACTAGGGGCTGGGGAGATGGCTCCATAGAATAAGCGCTTCTCTGGCAAGCGCAAGGGCATGAGTTCAATCCCCAATTCCGCCCAAAAAAAAAAAAAAAACAGAACTAGAGGTCCCATTTGACCCAGCTATTTCCCTTCTAGGTATCTTGTAGAAAGAATTAAAAGCATCAAACCACAGTGATTTATGCACACCTATGCTTATAGCGGCACGGTTTTTAACAGCTAAATATTGGAAATAGACCAAATGCCCATCAACTGGGTTTTTTTTTTTCTACAATGGACTAATACTACTCAGCCATAAAGAAGGATAAACTTGAGACATTTACTGCTAAATGGATGCACTTGAGAGCATACCCCTAAGTGAGATAGATCAGTCACACATGTAAATACCCCACTGTCTCTCTGGTGTGAAAAACAAAGTGTAAACAAGGACGAAAATGTGTAATAGAGGGCTGGGGTTATAGCTCAATGGCTTAAGCGCCTGCTGGAAAGCACACAGTCCCAAGGTCAATCCACAGTACCACACACACACACACACACACACAAAATGTATAATAGACATTGTGAAATAGGAAGAAAATATTCAAAAGGAGAAGGGAACTAGGGAGGGGGAGGGGAAAGGAAGGAATAAGACAAAATGTGAAAAGAATAAAACAAAGTTTTGTAAATAAGGAGGATAAGAGAAATTAAAGGGAAGGGAGTTGGATGAGAAAAAAAGAGGAATCAAGATATATTACGCAGGGCCGGGGATGTATCTCAGTGGCACTGCACCAGGCTGGCAAGCGCAAGGTCATGAGTTCAACTCCCAGAGCCAAAAAAAGATATATCATGTACAGTGTACAGGTACAAATTCCCTATAATGTACCAATAAACTTGATTTTTAAAAAATAATTAAGTCAAGTTAATCAATGCGTCCATCTTCTTAAACGTTTACCTTCTTTGTATCAGAACATCTATAAACTACCCTGTTAGCAATTTTACACTGACTCTTACACTGTGAGCTCAATGGCATAAAATGTCCTGCACAGACCAGCCCTGCTGTCTAACCTAAGGTGGTTTTTCTTCATAAGACAAGACTCAACCCAACCGCAGTTTCTTTCCAACATAACAGCTGCACACAGATTTTTCATCTGGAAGCTTTACTGATCATTGCCTCATCAACGCACACAAGCCATTGTACTGCATTTCCCTTATACGCTGAAGTGACTGCAGCCACATTTCCATCTCCTCCTGTGATTAGAAACTAAACTCACATTTTCCATTGTAATGTCATTTGAGGCATTCAGCAGATTCACACTTTTGTCAATGGCCACGATGCCAACTAAGGAGTCAGGCTGCGTCACAGCGATCCTAAGGGAGACTTTCTCCGATGGTTCAGCCTTAGGTTTACTCCAAAACAGCTTTATCTACCAAAGGGAGAGAGCACAGTTAGTTGATTTCATGTTTTGAAAGCATCATTTATATATCCTACCAATAGCAGATCAACAGCTCAAAATCTCATCAAGTATGTACATGTGCCCAGGCCGGAGGCAGGAAAGGAATAAAATAACCACGCCTCAGCATCTGCAGTCCTGAGCTGCTTCGGGTGGGCCACATAAGTCTACACTATCCCTCACCTTGGCTGTGTTCTTCCCTCTCGCCCTGCTACCCCAGCCCAGTCAGCACAGGACAGGAGACTGCTGGGTCCCACGTGCCCAATAAAGAAGGTGCAGTTGCCTCCATGTTGATGTGGGCTGAGGAGCGAACATGGCAGAGTCTAGAGGGCTCCCAACAGGCCCTGGCTGTGGGGCGGTCGGGCTGAGCTCCTATGGGGAGAATGGGCCCGAGCTCTGGGTCTCTATGGCTCCTCTGACACCACACTCCTCCAAGTGTGGCACAAACAGTACCGGGGCTCAACCCCCCCTTCCCTTGGGCTCTTCCCCAGGGGCCTCTCCCTTCCTCCAGTCTCATCTTAGCATCACCCCCTCCTGAGACTGTGCTGCCCACCTGGGGTATGGCACACTGCCCACTGCATGCTTCCCGCAGCTTCTTCCTTCCCAGCCCCACCTCCCTGCGCTGAGGATTTGCCTTAGGAAACCTCCAACTGCAGAGGCCTCCTCTGCTCCGTTCAGATGTCAGTCTCCCACCCTCCTGCCTGCCACTTCTACAATGCAGGAGTGGACCAGGAGCCACGCGGCGGATGTGCCATCGCCTAGGAAAGAATCAGGCATTTCCCAGCCTCAGCAGGAAGTGGACGCCTGAACAGCTGGCGGGCACAGAAGGCCTGCATGGGGACCTGCCCTCTTGTCACCCCTGCAGAGCTTGTACACGCCCTCAGCCTGGCCTCGAAGCTCTCTTGCCTTCTGTTTCAAAAGACTTCAGTCTCTTCTATTGCAGGCTCCCATAAAGCCTTCCTCTCCGGCTCGCCTGGTTCCAGCTAAGTTTTCTCTCGCACCTCCCAAGCCCTTGTGTGTCTGCTTTCTTCACCTGTGCCCTTCACCACGGTGGGGAGCGCACAGGGGAGACGCAGCCTCAGGCCGCGCAGGTCTCTCCTTGTCATTGCACCCTGTGGCCTCAGCTCCCACCTCTGTGTGGATAACTCCTGACCCTACAGCCCCCTCCAAGTCTCATTCATTTATTCTAGACTCAGTGCTGGACAGCAGCAGGTTCACTGATTCTCTCTTGCTGCAACACACTCTATTCCCATGTCTGCAGTTTCTTTGTAAACGTGGTAATTAGGATACAAAAAATAAAGATACAGCTTTACAAACAACCAAAGCAACTGCCGTCCCATATATCTAAGGAACTTCTTAAGAAGACTAATAACGCCCTCTGTGCCCACGTTCCTGATCTGACATGCTGCTCCTCTCGGCAGCCTGGTCACAGTTCAGATTCATCTCCTCACTGAAGCCTCCGCGACTCCTTTTCTACAATTCACCTTCACCAGGTGATTTTATAATCACTGCAAGCCAAAAATTATGCTGTGAAACTAACAAAGTATATTCTCTTTTTTGAAAAACTTTCTCGGCCTGGCCAGATAGCTCAGTGGACTAAAGCGCCTGCTTAGGCAGAGCACAGCAGCCAGGTTTTGATCCCCGGGGCACACTGAGATGGCGACTGAGACTGGACATGGCGGCGCACGCTTATAATCCCAGCCTTTGGAAGGCTGAAAACAAGAGGATCGCTATGAGTCGGATCTACAGAGTGAGAGCATGTAGACTCTGTACTAAATACAAAAAAACCTTATAAAACAAAAAAATAGAAGTTTATATTATAGTATTTTGAAAAAAATCAGGGTTAGGAAGGGCTGGGGCCAGAGCAGTGACAGAGCATCTGCCGAGCTGTACAAGGCCCTGGGTCAGCTCCAGCACTGTAAAAAAAATAGGGTTAAAAATTCTCAAAGAAAGTGTAGACAGCTGATCATTTTAACAAACTAGTATTCTAGGGTTTAAAAATCGATACTAGAAGAACTATATAAATCAGTTATTTTAAAACAATGATTATTTTACCTAAAAGGACCTGAAAGGGCACAAATTTTAATGAATTCAATGGCTCAGTCTGACACAGATCAGAACGTCAGTAACATTTATTCTGGGCTAGGGCTAAGGAGGGCTCCTTCACAGCTGCTTACTAGAACTATGAAAAGCCCCCAGCCTTTGGACACCGGCTCCACATGCCTCCTCACACGCAAGGTACCGAGCCCACTGAGCCTTGTCCCAGTCAGCTTCCACCAGATGAACAGAGGCGAGGCGCGGCCCAGGCCCAGCCCTGCTTCTCCTGGCGGCAGGCGGCTCCCACCCTCCCAAGCGTTCACTCTGGCACCACTGTAAACACCACACGCGTCCCAGCCTCTCTATGACAAGTCCTGAAGGGTTCGTGGATTTGAGTTCAATCTTAATGCCAAGAACCACATCTTCTAACTGCAACCCACCAGTTCTAATAATTCCGCATGTGAAGATAAATTTGTAGTAACTAAATATGAGTTTTATCTTTTGTCCATAGTTCTAGGAGGAAATACAATAAATTTTCAATTTGATTTAATGATTTTTTGTAACAAAATACATTTCTCAGAATTCACTATTAAGTTTTCTTTTAAATATTAATACTTTAGGGCTGGGGAGATAGCTCAGTAGAATAAGCGCTTGCCTGGCAAATACAGGGTCCTGAGTTCAATCCCTGGTACCACATAAAATAAATAAATACATATTATTACTTTAAATCTTACCTCATTTTTAAAAACAAGCTGAACAGGAATTTTTAGAACATCATTTATAATTTCTCCATCATTTTCAACATAATACACAATTATACAGGCCTTTGGAGCCCAAGAATTTTCTGGTATTAAAGAGAAGGTTGTGGAATTTTGTTTGCCTACAGCCACCAACTGTCCCCTGGATACCACCTGAAAAAAAAAAAAAAATTCTAGGTGAGTGTGTTGCGAAGGCTAACAGCTCTCCACCAAAGCTGCGTTTCTCATACACTTTTCTTGGCACGCATTTGCAGTACCCAATGATCACACTCATCGTGGGCAGCTGCACGTGGACATAATGGTCTTAATTCTTATTATGGCCCTTTCCACCTCATTTATCATACTTCCAAGCATACACCCAAGTCCTTGACTTCAAGAGGCTTCAAAGCCTTTTTGAAAGCAAGAAAACCAACTTGACAGGGCGTAAACTAGAAAGTAGAAAATGGTCAGAGTGGTACCGACTGGAGTAACAGGAGCGTCACTGTCACAAATCACTATTGTTTTTAATTCTCAATTTTAAATTCCTTCTTGCATTTTTAGGTTTTTAATGGACACATAGTATTTGTGTATATTATGGGCCAAATGTGATTATTTCAATACACGTACACAACATGTAATGATCTTATCAAGGTCTTGGCATGTCCATCACTGTAGTGGTCACTTTCCCTGGACAAAATACCCAAAACAACTTGAAAGAGAAGAGTCTTGGGTATGGTGGTGCATGCCCACAATCCCAGCACTCAGGAGACTGAGGCAGGAGGCTCACCAGAAGTTTGAGGTCAGCCTGGGCTATGGAGTGAGATTGAGGCCAGCCTGAGCTGCATAGCAAGACCCTGTCTCAGAAAGACTTAAATAACAGCTATGTTGGCCCATGGTCCTAGAGGATCCAGGCTACGGTGGGCTGGCTCTAACACAGACATGGTGCAGTGCACGGCCAGAGTAAACCAAGCTGCTAAACCACGGCAGCAGGAAGCTGCGAGAAAAGGAAGAACTAAGGACAGGAACAAACTCGGCCAGGGCAGACCCCGTGGGGACCACCTCCAACCATCCCAGCTCTTGTAGCAGGAGACTTTGGAGGGAGGTTTTAGATTTAACCCCTACATCACCTCAAGTATTTAGTACTCCTTTGTGTTGGGAGGGGATCTGCATTTGATCCAGGAGGAATACAAGACTTCATTAAGACAGCTGGATGGACAAAATTACAAGGCCACCGCAGCAATTTTTATTTTCTCCTCCTATTTTCTAATTTCCCATATGTTGCTTATTTAATAGAATTTTTTCCTTTTATTTAGTACAGGGTCTACAGGGTCTCACTACCCAGTTTGGACTCACAGTGATCCTGTTTTCAGCCTCCCAAGTGCTGGGATTACAGGCATGTGCCACCATGCCCAGTCTCAGTCAACGTCTCAGTACGCGCCAGGGACGGGGCCAGCATGGAATGGCACAACGGGAATCAAACCCGGTCCCTGCGTCTGCCTAAGCAGGCACTTTAATCTGCTGAGTTATCTGGCTGGCCCAGAAATGTAAATTTGAAACATAAAGCGCAATATAATTACCTGTTTTTAATTGTAAATGCAAAAGTAAGTAAAAAAAGATTTTATTGCAATATAAAAAGGATACACTAAGGTTTCAAAAGTAAGTTTAACACAGACACAAGTTAGACATCATTTCAAATGATTCTGTAGTGGACTGTAAACTTGAATTCTAGAAGAGATTACCATATAGCTAAACTCCTTCAGGTGCTTGTTGCCAGTAACCACCAACTCAAAAGGCGATCCAACCTAAAAGAGCAGCACACCTTAATTAGTACGTACACACCGAGGGCCACGGGCCAGCCCCACCGCATGGATCACATGAGCGGCAGGCATTACCTTCACGTTCTCGTCCCTTGTTCTCAGCTGGATGTACGTCCTGCTAGGAGAGGTGAACGTGCCGTGGACTTCCATGCTGCTTTCGCTATCAAGAAAATAAGCCTAGGACAAAACGAGAAAGGCTATATATTCTCAGCTTCAACTTCGAGAAAACCTCTCAGGAACCCGATGAACAGTTACTGAAAGGCAAAGTCACTTTTCCCCATCTTCACATTTGCCCAACATTGCTTCTTCACTGTTTAAACCTTATCTGGTAAGGAACTGAGTGGTTTAAACGCATGGGAAAAAGAGCCTCACCATCAAAACCCACGGGGAAAACAACCGCCCAGCTCACCTCAGAAACAAGGACATTGTATCAGGAAACACTCCAAGCAAAGAGAATAAATGGAAAAGCAATGCTCTCTTTCTCTCCATACTATGCAGCTCAGACAAAATCAAGAACGCAAACCCCCTCCACTAGATCCACCAAGATTCAGAATAAAAACCAAGCTGGCCACAGCTGTGCAGGCCCGTGGTTCAAGCTACTCAAGAGGTCGAACCACACGTTCAACCCAGCCTGGGCAACCGAGCGGCACAGCTACACCAGACTCAAAAGAAAACAACAGAAAAAATTAAATAAAAAGAAGAGGGGGCCTGCCGGTTAGCTCAGTTGTTTAAGCATCTGCTCATGCAAATGCAGTCAAGCACAGGATACCGCGGTTCAATCCCCAGCTCCACCTGCCTTACCACACCTGCCCTTCAGGCAGCGTGAGATACCACCAAA